TGGACTGTAATATATAATGTATATATTATATGCATATTTGTATGATATGTGTATAATATATACATGTATATGCATGCGAGCTCAGTCATGTCCAACTCTTTGCAACCCCATGGACTGTAGCCCGCCAGGCTCCTCTGTCCGCGGCAATCTCCAGGCAAGAAAACTGCAGTAGGTTGCCATTTCCTCCTCCAGTGGATCTTCCTGACTCACTTTAATGCGGGATTAAACCCGCATCTCCTGCATTGGTAGGCAGGCGAGTTCTTTACCACTGTGCCACCGAGGAAGCCCATATATATTTGTATATGTATTAACATATATTAATATTTAGTTGGGGCTTCCCAGGAAAAGGAAATGGCAACCCACTCCAGTATTCTTGCTGGGAAATCCCATGGACAGAAGGGCCTGGCAGGGCTACAGTCCATGGGGTCACAAAGAGTCGGACACGACTGAGTGACCAAACAACAATATTCAGTTGGGGGCTATAATCATGCATATTACAGCTTGCTTTCTTTTTACTTACCAAGATATAATGGGCATCATTCCAGGTCTGCACGTAGAATCGCAATTCATTCTTTTAATTCATACCTGGCACGTCATCGCATACTTGTAAAATTTACTTAGCCATTCCTCTCTGTAAGGAATAATTTCCAACTTGAGTTTATGGGTAGTTTCCAATTTGGGCTACTATACACAGTGCAGTAATGAACATGTTTTTTTGGTGAACATGACTGTTTCTGAGGAAAATTCTTGGAAGAGTAATGAATCACTCTGTCCTAGAATTATGCAACTTTTGAAAGATGTGGTGAAGTTATTCTTCCTAACAGGTTAAAATTCCTCCTCAGTGTGTTCCTAAAGTACTTTTAGCTTTGCAAATTTTGTTAGAGATTTTCGTCCTTAGTTACTTATGTACTAAAAAAAAAAAGAAAGAAATAGGACTTTTAAAAGGATCTTTATGATGAAAGAAAAGAGATAAACACATAAACATGTGTAACAAAAGTAGGAACAATAAGAGAGAGTATAGAAGAGAGACGAGTTGAGAATTCTAAACTCTATGGCTTCAAAATAGAAAAGCGCTACTTGCTGCAAGGGAGTAGCGGCAAGTCCATAGGATTTCCCTGGCAAGGAGCCAGGATGACATCTTGCTTCAGGACATGCTAGCTCTCAAGTGCCTTGGTCTTTGGGCAGGACTATTAAACACTGCCCTGCCTGTACCCTGGGAGGCCAGTCATCAGCGTGCTGCAGCAAAAACCAGAAATGCATGAACGGCCTTTGGTATACACCAGCCAAGCAGGCCTGTAAGAGTTAAACAATCTTGGATATTCTTTAGCCGCTGCTACTAACAAACACTTGTAGATAGACTTATCCTTCACAAAGCTAAACAAAGCTAATCAAAGCTAATTACTCTCTGACTTCATATGAGTTGTACTCTGAACCTGGCATTCTTCCCACCATACTCTTTTGTACCATTCTACATTTCAGAAGGAAGGTCATGGGCGGATAACTTCAGGGACACCAGATCCCATTGCTGAGTTGCCTGAGGCCAGCTGTGGCCGTTTTGAAAATTTGAAAAAGAAAGAAAGAAAAAATACAAGGCCTTCATGAGGCTATGAAACCTCTCCCTTTTCCTGAGAGAGGAGGGGCATACCTCTTGAGGCGTTAAGTCTACTGTGTTTCCCTTTTGCCTGGTGAAAATAAGAAGGCTACTCTTCTGTTTGCTCCCAACTGTCTCTGTGTTTCTGTTTGGCATCGCTGGGCAGGCAGCTGAGATTTTGGCAACGAGGTGCAGGTGGGCCTCGTTGTTGAAGGGGCGGTTGTTGAGATCTGAGAGCCTGTTCAGTGCTCCTATGTGTGTTCCCGTCCAGCTGCTGAATTATTGTCATCAGAAACTTCCTATTGAACACAAAGAGCAGGTAATGGGGGTGGCTTAGTCATCCGCAGGAATGTTAGACCTGAGGAGACAGTGCTAGAGCCTGAGAAGATTGAATCCACCTCACTCTCCTACAGACAGTTGTGCTTCCAGTTACTGGCAGGATGAATCACGTTTCCTATAAATATCAGAACAGTCCGTTTTCATATTCTATCTTTAACCTGGGTGAAGTCATTTCTCACAGGCTTGAAACTGTGGATTAAATCGTCTTGTCCTGGACCATTTCAGGGTGATAATGCAAGTGGAAAGGCCAGACTTCCATTTCCAAGAACAGAGTTGTTGTTATTGTTGTTTAGTCGCTAAGTCATACCGACTCTTTGCAACTGTAGCCCACCAGGCTCTTCTGTCCATGGGATTTCCCAGGCAAGAATACTGGAGTGGGTTACCATGTCCATCTCCAGAGGATCTTTCCGACTCAGGTATCAGATCTGAGTCTCCTGCATTGTCAGGCATTGGCTAGCGGATTCTTTACCACTGAGCTATCAGGAAAGCTCCCAAGAAACAAGATAGGATGTAAATTATCCAATGCAGGCTTCTGTCCTTCAGGAAATATTTACAAGAGCACTGTGTTGCACTCAGGAAGGTCAGGATCATAGACTTGGAGCTCAACTGAATAGAGTTGAAATCTGGTCCCTCCTACTTTCTAGCAGTGTGACCTTGTTTATTGCTTAGCATCTCTGAGCCTTGATTTTCTGATCTATAAAATGGGAACAGTACAGGCTCTTCTGTCCATGGGATTTCCCAGGCAAGAATACTGGAGTGGGTTACCATGTCCATCTCCAGAGGATCTTTCCGACTCAGGTATCAGATCCGAGTCTCCTGCATTGTCAGGCATTGGCTAGCGGATTCTTTACCACTGAGCTATCGGGGAAGCTCCAAGAAACAAGATAGGATGTAAATTATCCAATGCAGGCTTCTGTCCTTCAGGAAATATTTTCAAGAGCAGTGTGCTGCACTCAGGAAGGTCAGGATCATAGACCTGGAGCTCAACTGAATAGAGCTGAAATCTGGTCCCTCCTACTTTCTAGCAGTGTGACCTTGTTTATTGCTTAGCATCTCTGAGCCTTGATTTTCTGATCTATAAAATGGGAACAGTAACACCTCTATATCACTGTTACAGAGTCCTCATTTTTAGCCTCAGCAAGTGGCTAGACCCAAGGCCTAGAGTTGCTAATTTGGTAGCAGCAAGAAGCCCCTAGCCAAAATAAACTCACTGTCTCCTGGCAGGGTGGCCGGATCTGGAGTGCTAGGAAGACATGAGTGAGGATGGGGTGGGGAATGGTGAGGATTCTTTCAAATGATGGAATAAGCAGCAATGCAGGGTGATCAGAAATAGTACTGAGCTTCTGATTGTGCATTTGGGAGCTGGAGAAATATCAGCAGTCATGGGTGGGTGTGGGGAGTCGCAGACATAGAAAATTAGGCCTGCATTTGAACCTCTTGGCTTATGCTAATTTATCAGAACAGGCTTGGGGCACTCAGAGGCAGCCCAGGGGAGTTTCCCATCTGCAGACATCCTGTTCCAGGCTATATATCAGAGTGGTTACTTTGCCACAGGATGGCTCAGGACAACAAAAAGTGAGCCAACAAAATTATCTCTGCCTTGGCAATGTTAATTACATCACCACCCCAGAAGCAACTACCACCGAAACTGTAGCAGGTACTGGTTCCATTTATTTCTGTATCCCTTTTCAGATATATCTATATATAGAGAGAGAGATGGAGAGATATATGGCACATACCATGTCCCAGTTTGTGGTTCATTCTTTAGTTTTTCAACATTGTTTTGATGTGTTTAAAATAGTCTGGAGAAGAGAGTGTTTCTGCTTAGATAAATTCACAAAGGATAGATCTAGAGTGGGTTAGTAAAGAAAAGGGAAGGCTTTTTAAGAAATAGCTCTGACCTTTCAGTTTGAGAGCATAGAAAATTCTTTCACAAAATTCTGGGCTTAAGGGAACACTGAGCTAACTCTGTGACATTTTTCATTTTCCTTTGCATATATTAGGGCTTTGGGGCATCTGGAAGGAGCTGAGGGTAGGCAGAAAAGAGGCGGACTGGGGACCAGGGGCAGACACGCTAAACACCACAAAAATAATAAATCCTAACCTGGCCTTTCAAGTCATTCCTAGGAAGCAGCAGGAGAAGAGAATCGTTTACATTCATACATACGATTTACGGCCCCAGATTTTACTGTGGCCCAATGCAAACATTGGACAGATCTGAGGATGGGAAGACAGATATGATGTGGGGTCAAGAGGATGCAGGGGGTACTGGCAGTGCTCTTCACAGGTCTCCTCTCACCCTTTTTAATCCCCCTGGGCTCCCCAACTTGCCCCCTACCTTCCCCTACCCCCATGAGCTTGCCAGCTGAGAGGGGATGCTTCTAAAAGTTCACACCTTTATGCGAGGGGCTATGTTAGGGACTGCCCTCTACTTGGAAGTTTTAAGTCCCCCCACCTGGGGCAGCTCTTAGCCAAGGATGGGGGGCTGAGAGAAGATGAAAGCCTGGCTCCCTGGCCCCTGGTAGAGTGGGACTCTACGGATGATCTCCAGTCGAGAGTTCTCCATCCAGACCAGGCTGAGATAACAGAGGCATGGCCTGTTTTACCTGCCTCCTCCTCTTCCCTATCCTGCTCCCCACTTCCCGCTGGTGTCTCAGAGAGCACTTCCTGGGCAAACCTCTGGCACAAGAATCCTCCACTCGGAATTTACTTCTGAGCCTCCTACAGAAGATAGGCTTTGGTGGTGGCAGGGGTGGGGGTGGGGGTCAGTTTTGTTCTTGTTTTGAAGGAAGGAGAAATTACAGCATGCTTTGTATCCTGAGGGGGATGATCTGGGAAGAGCTGGGGGTAATGGAGATAGGAGGGAAGGCTGTGGAGGCGACAGCTTTGAGTAAGCAGGAAGGCACAGTCCCTATACTAGTCATTAACTCTTGGGAGTAACAAGGGCAGCTCACCCTTTCTTGACTGGAGAGAAATCAGCAAAGGAGGCTTAATGTGCAGGAGGGCAGGGAGACTTGGTGGTAGAAGGTAGAAGTCTCTTCTGATCACTTTCCTTAAATTAATGAGACCATCACATGAGCGTGAGGGACGTGAGGATGATAGAGGTCTGAGCAGACCAAAGAAGGTGTAAAATAATCTGAGAAAGCAAAAGCCTGTCAGAACTAGGGACGTGTCACAGGATTTCCAGGAGACACTGAACATCTATTTGAGGTTTGTAGTCACTGGCGTTAAATGAGACCAGGTCTGCAATGTTGTCTTTTTATACCAGCCACAGCCAAGAATTTTAGGACAAACATGGAGTGGACAGACGTATGGGATCAACCAGAGTTTGGATTCTAGAGTTTAGTTTCTGAAGGCAAGGGTGTTGAGGGTTGGTGCAAGAGAGTGGGTTTAATGACGACACAGAAAAAGAGGGAGAGAGGGAGAGAGGGGCAATGTTGACGTTGGAAAGATGGCAGACAGGGCCAGTGGGTTGACTGGAGGTCCTGGTAGCATTGAAGACAGCTGGAGGGAGGATCCCAGAGGAAGTGAGACCAAACGACAGAATGTGGTTGTCAGAGAGTAGCACACTTGAAATCGAGGCTTGGGTGGAAGTGCAGATATTGGTAATGACAAAATGTTGTGGATTCGTGATTGAGAAGGCATGGAGGTGAGGCTCTCTTAAAGGAGATAGGGAAGATCAAGGACAAATGCAGTGTGAAATAAAGGGAAAGTGCATGCCAAAATGAAATTATAAGTGAATGAACTCTCCCTTTTTGTGTGTTCTTGTATTTCCCAAATATTCCACAATGAACATATGTCACTATATAAGCGGGAAAAAGTTATTAAGTAAAATCAAAGATACTACTTGGAAGTATACAGGGAAAATTTTTTTTTATTTATTGGTAAGGCAATTACTACTATTTTCAAGTGGCTGGTTCACAAAGTTCACAGAGTTATTCCCAGTCAAGAATTGTACCAATATTTCCAGGCATCTTAAACAAACATTTTAAATGAGACCAAATGAGAGATGTGAGTTTCACAGTGTTGAGTGTATACTTTATTTTAAGAAATGCCTATTGTAAAATGCACCTACATTTGTATTTGTTGTATTTGCATTTGCAGTAAGAAACCCTGAAATCATCTATGGGATAAAGAGGAGGGAGAATGGAACATTCAGTGGGCAGAAATGGGAGCAAGACTCTTCTTGAACACTTTTTCATATTTTCTTATCTTTGAACAATGTAAAGATAGCACCTGTTCAAAAATACATTTAAACAGTAAATTTTAATACAATCTAAAATTGTTAATAGAAAAACTTTCTTTTAAAATTTTGCATATGCAAAAGTTGTGTTAAACACAATGTTTATATTGCCAAATGGGTCTTTTTTTAAACAGGAAATTCCGTTAGTGTTTTTTAAAAAGTGTTCTACTTTCAGAAATTTAGTTTCTGCTTAAAGATATAAATGTGTCACTTTTACCACATCTTTAAGAGCAAAGGTCAGACTTTGGACAAGACTCAGATCCTGCCAGAAAAAAAAGTTAAAAGAAAAACAACTTATTACATACAACATCTCACTAGAGGTATCAAGTTGAGAGGATGCATTGGAGCAGGTTTCATACAGATTAAACACTGGCCCTGACAATAAACCTGAGAATTCCGAGCCATGGACCCTAATCTATAGTCAGGGACCAACCCTGAGGGCCCTGGCCGAGAGAGATGCTGTGTGCAGATTTCAGCCTAATTCAGGCCACATCTGGAGGCAGTCTTCCTATTCATGTGTTTTCAGGTGAAAGAAGCAACCAATTTTCTTCTTTGCTTTAGTTGGTTTGAGGTGGGTATGCTGCATCTGAACTGTCCTGACCCCAACATGGAATTTAATACAAGACTGTAAGTTTTCTGCTCCCAGAGCACCTGAATGTCTCTGTCTTCACACTGGGCAGTCATCTCCCAAGAGCCAATCCCATTCACGGCCCAAGAGAAGCAGCTCCTGCACAAACACCTTCCTCACACTAAAGCAAGAAATGAGTGTGGCATGGACCGAATTTTAGGGGAGGACAGAGAGAGGGGCAGTGAACCACCTTCTCATCATCAACCAACATCCAAACAAGACTGTGCAAAGGGGACACAGAATTACAACAATAGGTGGGCATATACAAGGGAAACTGAAGCTCAGTCAAAGCCATGGACAGTGGTTCTGAGCTAAAAGGAATCTTAAAATATACCCGGTCCCACCTTTTATTTCACAGATGCCCAAATTGAGGCCAATCTCTTTTTTTCTCAGGGTGCACAATTAAATTCAAGACTACAATCCAAGGCTTCACTAAAGAAAGCTTTTACTATTTAGGCTTATCAGAAAGAAAAAAAAGAGAATCTGTGTTAGAAAACAGGGCATGTTTTATTACTATAATGAACTGCCACTGATTTCTATGATGCCTGGGAGGTTGGAAGCGATGGCCAAAGGGTCTTTCAAGTCTAAGAGCCAATCAAAACTCTCTTCCATGGTCACTGTTTTTCCTGTGGTGCAAGGAACACTGCTTTTTTACATAGTGGGAAAGCAGCCTGAAGCATCCATTTTTTAATTTCATTTCTGGAAAAGAAAAAATAAAATAAAATTCTTCTCTGATAGTAATTTTTGAGAATAGGAAAATTTTTATGACTTTCTAACAAACATATTCCTAGCAATGTGTATTGAATGCTTACTCTGTGCCAGACATGCATTTTTAAGGAATTACATCATTTAATCCTCAAAAAAAAATCACGAAGCAGGTACAATTATTGTCTTCACTTTACAGATGGGAAAAGTGAGACATAGAAGAGCTGAGGAAAGGGCCTCTGAACCATTAATAAGTGGAATTCTGGCAATCTGACTCCATGCATTCCACTTTTAATTCCTGTGCCATTCTGCCTCCTATTTTATGTCATTTCATTCAAAACCATTTCTGTTATTCTCATTTCTATTTAAGAATCAGAAGAAGACATTTGTCTAAAACCACTTTCTCCCACTAGAATATAAGTGACAAGAGGGTAGGAGCTTTGCTCTATACCTTGCTGTAGCTCCAACTTCTAAAACCGTGCCTAGTACAAAGTATGCATTCAATAAACGTGTTGAATGAGCAAACAGATTTCAAGAGAATATTATCAGAGTGATGAGTAAGCATCATACATGGCCAATTGATTTAGAATTCCCATGGTCTGGTGCAAACAAGCAAGCAAGCATAAGCTAATTACCTCTCTTTTGTATTTATCTAACTCTTCCATAAGCTTTGGCACAATATGTTGGCAGAGATTCTCCAGTAATGTCACATTATCTTCACCTATTTTAGCTTTTTTCTCCAGATATGTCAAGAAACTTCTAGAGGTCTGCAAGAGAATCAATGAAGTCACTTTTACTTGCCCACTGACTATCCATTGCATTAATAAATAAGGCAGAGTATATATCCAGGAGGACCTAAATAGTATGGGGAAAGAGACAGTATAGAAATTGTAAATCTCTATACAATCTATATCAGTGTGTGTATGTGTGTTAGTCACTCAGGCATGTCCAACTCTTTGGGACCCCATGGACTGTAACCCGCCAGGCCCCTGCCCACGGCACTTCCCAGGCAAGAATACTGGAGTGGGGTGCCATTTCCTCCCTAGGGGATCTCCAGACCCAGGGACACCACATACCAAATAGACACAGCTCACTAACTACTCAGAAACAATTTGATGAGTAGATGCTATTATTATCCCCATTTTAAAGATGATATAACTGAGGCACAGAGAAGTTCAGTAACTTGTCCAAGGTCACAGAGCCAGTAAGTGGCAGAGCACTAATTATGCAATGTTTTGTGGCTCTAATAATGAGTAAGACTCAGTCCCCATTCCCGAGGATCCCACAACCCATCTTTGGGATAAAGACTGAAGAGAGAAACAGTGGAAAGTCACAAGAGGCTAAAATCCCTGAGGGCCCTGAAAAGGTGGTGGGCTGGGGGCGGGACATGGCTGCTCACTTGGTTCTACATTTTATAACTTCCATACATTTTATACACATCTTTTTTTGGTGTTATATAACTTAAAACCTAAAGAAAATAATAGTTGAATAACAAAATTAATGTTATAGGGTAAAATTTGAAAATTGACCCCTTCCCAAATTAAATAACTGGCTTGTCACAAGCTGTTAGAAACTCAAAGAAACAAAAAGTTCTGTGGCCTGGAAGAGATATGGGCAGCTACTTTCCAGCCCTTGACTGTGATCAACCTAACAAGAATATAAGCAGACAGCATTATGTTAATATTTTTAAATTACTATTGGTTCCAAGCTCCTGTACAACCCTGTAGAAAGGACATCCTCAAACATTTGTCTCATTTGATTTTCACGAAACTCTTCATGGAAGACACTGCAGAATCCACTGAAGAGGATAGTCTCCCTCGAAAACCTCAACAAATGGAGGTGATGAACAACTGAATTCCACTCTGCCATTAGCTACCAGCTCCTCATTCCTTCGTGGTGCCCTGCACAGTTCTGTATCATAAGACCCAGTGAGTGCCCATAGCAGTCAATCATTTACTGCATGGTTACCATGTGCAAAGGGCTTCACTGATGGCGTAGTGCTAAAGCATCTGCCTGCAATGTAAGAGACGACATTCGATCCCTGGTTTGGGAAGATCCCCTGGAGGAGGGCATGACAACACACTCTAGTTTTCTTCCCTGGAGAATCCCATGGACAGAGGAGCCTGGCAGGCTAGAGTTCAAAGACTGACAAAGAGTTGGCCATCACTGAAGGGACTCAGCATGCACACACGTACTATGTGCGAAATACAGGCCCCAGCTAACAGTTTATGTACCTTATTTCATCTACTCCTCTTCACTGTCCTGGAAGGAAATAGTATAATTGTCTATAACGGGCTGTATTAGAAAATGGAGGGAGACTCAGAAACGTTCAGTCACTTGCCCCACATTCAGGAGTTGGTCTGGACCTCAACTCCAGGCACATCACAATCCATGTTTCTAACCCTGTTTGATAGTGACTCCCTTTCCAACATCTTTCCAAGCACTGCTTAAGGTGGTGTTCACAAAGATCCCATCGAGTACGGCTCACTCACCATCTGGACATTTGGAACTGACCCCCTCAGAAGGAAGATCATGCTCTTTAGGTCCTCTGAGGTGATGCCTTCTGACAGTTTGTAGAGAAGGTTTCTAAGACATAGAGCAAAGAGACAAATTAAAGCCTCACACTTGCAGGACAGGCAGAAAATGGAGAGCTTTTATCAAATGTTATCTCTAGTTTGAATAACCACAGCCCTGTGAGTAGACAACTGTTAATCTCATTTTATAGATTTAAAAACAAAAACTTGTAGTATTTCATTTTGACCTATTCCACTATGAGCCTTATTAATAACGGTGAGACTTGTTGATCCCAGGTCTTCTGATTCCAGGTCCAGTGCTGTTTCAAATCCCACTAAGAAGGTGTAAAACACCACTGTGGCATGCCCACCCTTCTCCAGACCCCATTCCAGAAATCAGGCTTACTTTATAGGCCCTCATCAGGGAGCACCCAATGCCAGTGAATATGAAGTTCACTTACAGAAAGGAAACTATCCCAGCTTCTGGGAAGCCACACACTCAACAATTGGAAAAACTGCATTTAGGAACTTCCCTGGCAGCCCAGTGTTGGGCATAGTTATAATCCCTGGTGGAGGAACTAAGAGCCTACATACTAGGCCATGTGGCCAAAAATAAAAAGAGAAATTGAATACTTCATTCACACATTAACAGCTCTGCATGCCCAAGACCATTCCTCAGCTTTTTAACCAACAGAATGGAGTTAATAATTTCCAGAATTCTCTCACTGACCCAAGGGTCACTCAGGTTCTAGGAGTCAGTTCAAGTGTTCAGATCTGAAGCACTGTAATTGTCCAAGCTATAAAATAATATCACAGAGGCTCCTCCTTGTGAGGTTGCTTGATGTAGACACTATGTCAGTGGACAGTTTATAATAGTGTTGCCTCAGGTCTATTGCCTTTGTTTTACCTCTTTGGGCAAAATGCCTATATTTTACCTGTCTGGGTTTCGCCCCAAATTGGGGAAATTGGACAAGGCATAAATGACGACTTCCCTACCCTAGAGACACATCTCCTTTTTCATTTTGTCAATTTGGCTCCAAGTGTGCTTCCCTGGTAACTCAGCGGGTAAAGAATCCGCCTGCAATGCGGGAGACCTGGGTTCAGTCCCTGAGTTGGGAAGATCCCCGGAAGAGGGCATGGCCACCTGCTCTTGCATTCTTGCATGGGGAATCCCCATGGACAAAGGAGCCTGGCAGGCTACAGTCCACGGGGACAAAAAGAGGCGGACATGACTGAGCGACTAAGCACATGCATTACTCCCTTTTCCAACAGCAGACACACCAGTGACTCCCAGGCGGGAGGAGGCTGAGAGCACAGAGGTTGATGAAGAGGAAGGCTGGAGGTGGGGCCTGCTGCCTGGAGCTGGGGCTCCTTCCTCAGTGAGAAGCAAAACAAAAGGAGGCCCCTCTCAGGCCGGGGCTGGGTTTCAAAGCTTTGTTGACCTCCAAGCCGCCTTTCTCATCAGCACCTGAAGCTGAGAAATCTCCTGGTTTAGAATCACCATACCATCCAAGGAGGTAGATAAGCGAGGGGAAAAAAAGCAATGGACAAAGGAGCCTGGCAGGCTACAGTCCACGGGGACAAAAAGAGGCGGACATGACTGAGCGACTAAGCACATGCATTACTCCCTTTTCCAACGGCAGACACACCAGTGACTCCCAGGCGGGAGGAGGCTGAGAGCACAGAGGTTGATGAAGAGGAAGGCTGGGGGTGGGGCCTGCTGCCTGGAGCTGGGGCTCCTTCCTCAGTGAGAAGCAAAACAAAAGGAGGCCCCTCTCAGGCCCGGGCTGGGTTTCAAAGCTTTGTTGACCTCCCAGCCGCCTTTCTCATCAGCACCTGAAGCTGAGAAATCTCCTGGTTTAGAATCACCATACCATCCAAGGAGGTAGATAAGCGAGGGGAAAAAAAGCTTAAAATCGGATTCCTTTTTCATCTTAAGATTAAAGATCTTAACCCCGGCCTCTCACAGCCCGATGGCCCTGCCAGGTTGATCTTGATCACCTGAAGTGGGAGGCCCTGCCGCGGGCGTGCAGCCAGCTCTGCACCTGCTCCTTGGTGCAGCCGACGCGCTGCAGCAGGACCTCATGCTGAATGGCGTAGAGGAGCTCCGCTAGGAAGAAGGGGTCTTCCGCACTCAGCAGCTCCCGCTGCAGAGGCACTCGAAAATATCCAAGGCTCTGCTGCACGTTTCCAGTTTTCTGGGGGTGATGTAGTCTTGGCAGAGAAACTCAAGCACTCCACGTCTCCATCCCCCAGGGCCAAGTTAATAATCAGAAGCTTCTTTCGAAAGTTCACTTGCCGTTTGTCATCTAAAGTGGAATTGAAACGTTGGCTTGGCGATGCCATGACATTTCTGAAAGAGAGAAGGAGGTGGGGGGGGGTTGCAGGTTAGACAATGAGGACAACACAGCAGCCCAACTTCCCGGGCCCTCCCTCAGTTTAAACCTTCTCTGTTCCAGGCCTTAGACTTCTCCAGAAGGGCTGAAAGATGAAATTCACTGGGAGGTCACTTCAAAAACCTATAGCCCAGAAAACTTGATTCAAACAGTTAACCCTTTAGGAGGTCTGGAGAGAGCTTTCATTGGAACTCAGTTGACCCTGAGTTCTCCCAAATCAAAATGTTGCCACTGGGAGAGTTAGGTCTATTTGGTGGGAATTATTAGGACTTCAAGACCAGGAGACAGCATCTCAGGTGACCCTGAGAGAACTGTTTGAGGAGGTAGGTGGGGGTTGGGGGGTGTTGAGTGGGGAAGGAGCCAGGTTATATATTACTATATATATATTATATACATATAGGCTATACATATTATATATTATATAATAGAAGTTTGCAGCAAGGGACAGGTAATCTGAATATTAAAAGATTACTATTAATTAAGGAAAACCAGTTATTTCTCATTAAGGGATTTAGTGCCCTTCTATGTATAGGAAGATGCAAGCGTCTGGGTTCACTGAATTCATCCCTTTCATATGCATCTCAGCTATCTGGGGCCAAATCCTGCTTCTTAACTGTTCACATCCTTAATTCTTCATTAACCATAAGGGGTGGCAAACTTTCTCCCACACATCCCCCGACACACACCCACACATCCAGCTCCTCAGCGCTTACTGGGAAAGTGGCTGATGGCTGCCAAATAGAGGTATTGTTCTATTTGGGCTCTGAAATTTACATTTGGAAGGTTGAAATCCCTGATGGCTGTGATATTGTTTCCTGGTATAGCAGGAAATATTAATATTTCATTTCACAGTCCCTTTCCATAGTGGGAAATTCGACCATACTAGGAGACATTTCACGACCATCTTTTTTGTCCCACTGTGCTGGGAGGCTCATCCCAGATCAGGTGAAAATTCTTATTGATATGTCACTCCAGGTGTTGATTTCTGGATTAGGCCCATTGATAGATAATAAAAGATTCTCTGGATCCTCTATCTTCTAACCTATTAGGATCCAGGAGATATTTCCCTCGTTGCTTCTTCCCATACCAAGAATCACACTATTACAATTATTCTATGTTATAAATGTGACCTGTTTCTTTAAGATGTTTAGCTCTCATTAATTTGGTCTAGTGCCTGGTTACACAGTGTATAATGCAAAAAGACCTTTATAAAGTAGACAGATTACAAGTAATACAGCTAATAAAGTTATTTAAGTTACAAGTAGGGATTTAAACCATGAGCTTCCAGAACCAAACCATCTTCCCAAAAGATTATCAAGATTAGGAAGTGGATCATCTAATGCAGTAATCTGATTTTTCATGTGACTCATTAAATGTGTTACCTTAGAAGATTCACCTGATGTGCAAACACAGCATTCAGTTTGAATGATGGCACAAGTGCTCCCTTGAGATGCTGTTAAGTTTATCAAGGGCCACACAATTTTGTAAGACAGCTTTACTCATCATAGAGACCTCAAAATTTAGAAAGCTAATAACCTGGTTGCTAGCATTTAAGGCCTTTTGAGTGAATTCTGTTAAGGCTTTAGTGTGAGAAATAACTTTTTCCAATCCTACTGAGAGCACAAAAATAGCTGCTAAGTGATCATACCAGTGAAACACAGATCTCTTGTCCATCAGGCTCATACTGATGGTAAATTTGCTGGAGTAACATCTAAATTTGTACGTAAGTGGACTTGAGCCCAAGGGAATCCTAAAGTACGCCTTTCTAGCCATCCTGTTGGAAGCCAGGGCCAGAGATTGGTCCCACAAAGCCATTAAGTCCCGTTAGCTACCTCCCAGTATATTTCTGGTCATCTGACCCAATCTGTTCCGTACCAATCACTATCTTTAAGGGAAGTGATATATGATATACTGGCAATTTTCATAAGGCATGCAGCCTAATTTTTTAGTGTTATAATGCTGATTATCTTTAGTATGATTTAGTTGTTCCCAGATTCGGGGGTCTTTAGGTTTAGATGACCAGAGCTTGGTATTAGCCAGATAAATCCAACCCATAACTGAGGAAGTGTCCTTCCTAACAGTCTAGAGTTTACATTTTTTGACCGAAATGTAGCTTCTTGTTCCTGTTGAGCTTGAGTAACCTTAAGGGATATTGTTTTTGTTTGGCTGCATCCCTTCATTCTTTCTGGAGTTATTTCTCCACTGATCTCCAGTAGCATATTGGGCACCTACTGACCTGGGGAGTTCCTCTTTCAGTATCCTATCATTTTGCTTTTCATACTGTTTATGGGGTTCACAAAGGCAAGAATCACAATAAACTGTGGAAAATTCTGAAAGAGATGGGAATATCAGACCACCTGACCTGCCTCTTGAGAAACCTGTATGCAGGTCAGGAAGCAACAGTCAGAACTGGACATGGAACAACAGACTGGTTCCAAATAAGAAGAGTTGACTCATTGGAAAAGACCCTGATGCTGGGAGGGATTGGGGGCAGGAGGAGAAGGGGACGACAGAAGATGAGGTGGCTGGATGGCATCACCAACTCGATGGACTTGAGTCTGGGTAAGCTCCAGGAGTTGGTGACAGACAGGGAGGCCTGGTGTGCTGCGATTCATGGGGTCACAAAGAGTCAGACACGACTGAGTGACTGAACTGAACTGAACTGAACCTTAAGGGAAAATTCATATTTATGGCCAGGGTAAGAATATGCATGTTAGTTTTGCCAAGTGAGTGGGTCCCACTGAGTGATATCAGTAGTAGCCCAGACCAAACTATAATTCTTTTTTTCTAAAATAAACTTTCTAAGAGCCATCTAGTCAGAACCTTTGGGGGAGAAACCCACCAAGATAAACCAGAGGTACTGGATGCAGGTAATTGACCACAAACCCAACAATTTAATTGATTTCTAAAATATGCATAAGAGAGGGCCCATGATACAAAAAGATTTGATTCATGTGCAAGTCCAAGAAATCAAGAAGAAAATGAACAATCATACTGGTCAGGTCTAGTATTTTGGGACAGTTGTCTGCTTCTGATACTGTCTTCTGATCGTTCTGGTATTGGTACTTTATTATTATCAGAGCACTGCTTTAAGATGAGTTTGAGGTCAACAATTCTCTCTACAGTCCAGCCTGGTGCAGAAGCCCTTTTTAGGGGAGAAAGATGAATCCAAGAGTCGATTTACTTCAGTTTTGCTGCACATGAGCTTGTTAAAAGAACCTGATAAGGGCCCTTCCATCTAGGTTGGAGGGAGTCCTTTAAATGACATCTTTTCCAATATACATAATCCCCTGGTTGTAAGTCACAGGACATCTGATCTTCATTTGAAGATAGATCACTGTGATAAACTTTGGAAACAAGTTTAGAAGGATTTGCCAATAATTTGATTAAACACTTTCAATAATGTAGTATATCTCCCTTTAGTAATGTAGGGTCATATGATCCTCATCCAATCTCATTTGTCTCCCTGTAATGATCTCAAAGGGAGAGAAAGGGTGTTTGCCAAAATGAGTGGATCTGAGGTTGAGGAGGACCAATGGAAGAGCCTTAGGTGAGCATAAGGAATAAGCATCCGTAATTTTAGCCAACTGAGTTTTAATTGTTCCATTTGTCATTTCTATTAACCCAGAAGACTGGGGGTAATAGGTACAATGGAAGTATTGCATAATTGGCCACATTTTACAAGCTTCCTTAACAATTTGTCCAGTAAAATGAGTTCCTCTGTCACTGTGTAGTTCTGAGGGGATACCCCAGATGGGAACAACTCTTTCTAAAAACAGCTTTTCTCCCGATTGTGCCGTGGCCTTTCTGCTTGGGAATATCTCAACTCGGTGTGAAAACACACAGATCGTAAGAAGAACTGGTTGGTAACCTTGCAGGGGAGGCATCTGCATAAAACCTATCCTGCCACATTTCCAAAGGGCCTCTAGGTAATGGAAAACTCCCCTGAGAATTTATGCAATGGCTTTCCTGGATTATATTTTGGACATGCACTGCATCCTGAATAGATCTTCCCAAGCTGTAGTAGAGGAAGGTTTCCAAAAATAGTGTTTGTCCTATACACCATCTTATCTGTGTTCCAATGAGTTACCTCATGAAAATATTGTAAAACAGGATACTGAGCTCCAAACAGAAGGACAGGCTTCCTGTTTGGACCTATGCACAGCTCTCTTTTAGAGTTGAATCCTCCTCCTTTCTGTATCTAGGTGTATTTTTCCTTGTCTGGTGCTGTTCTCTGAAATCTTAATAACATGTTAGAGAGGTTACTGGGAGACTGAAAGGGAAAGGCAGTAGTCAGTTGGCTGTGAATAATTTGAGAGGCTGCTGCTTTGCCAGTGTGATTAGTCTAAAGTTTCTTTTTGCCTCGGCAGTGTCGGTCCTTGAATGGCCTGATACCTTAATAATATCCAGCACACTTGGTAGCAGAATTGCATCTCAAACTCCACTACTGGTTTCCCATTTTTGATAGGCTGTCCTGAGGATGTTAGAAACCCTCTTTGTTCCCGAAGTATACCAAAACCATACGCCACTCCAAAAGCAGAGTGGCTGTCCTTTGTAGATATTGACAGATTTTCTTTTGCCAACTGACAGGCCCTGGTTAGTGTTATTAACTCAGCCTGTCGAGCGGAAGAGACATTAGGCAAATGACCATTTTCAAGGATAGACATTGGGGAAATAGCAGCATAGCCAGCCTGGTATTTTCCATGAGGTCCTTGTAAATATAAACTGTCAGTGAATAATATAAAATCGGGGTTATCCACTGGACTCTCTTGAAAGTCAGTCTTAGGGAATAGAAGGTTGTCAGTTAAGGCAATACAATCATGCTTTACTTGCATCATCCAATTTTTCTGGGAGCAAGGTAGCTGCATTGTTTGATACACCCGTGGAGAGTTATGTTTGATGAGAGCAGGACAATCTCATGAGAGGTTAATCGACTTGCTGAATAATGCT